TGAGTGTTTTTGAATGTCAGCCTACTTCAAAACTTTGGAAAATAAAATTTCTGTTGATCCAGACAAGATTTCTGGAAAAACATTTTAAGAACAACCTGTTGGAAATGCTTTGAGAAATTGCTAACCGATTTTTGAACATCCGGCCTCTGGTTAACATTTTCCTAGTTAGTGTAAGTAATAGTATGGTTTCGAGTGCAATTTGGAAAAAACATGCACGGTCAGGGGCGCCGGAAGCAATGTAAAGCGGAGGGGGCAGCCATTTCAAAAGGGCACTTCATTTTTCTGAGCGGCAATACTTGTTAAAACTTTACTGAATGGATACTCGATTACTTGTGGCTATTATGGTCGGCAAACCTCGACCTTAATTTTGAACAATTTTATTTGTTGGTGCGAAATAAAATCAGTAAACGGACGTATATTGCTTGATTTAGCATTAATTTTACTGCAACTGGTTAAAAATAAAGCAAAGATTGCTTAAACATTGCTTAAGAATAGTTATAAATTCCAATTTCTGTGAATAACGAACAAATTTCGAACTGCAGCTCCGGTAAAAAGGGCAACCTGTTGCCCATGCTGCCCCCGCACTGTTTGGGCAGTGGGGGCAGTTGCCCCCGCTGCCCCCGTGGCTCCGGCGCCCCTGCATGCACGAGTGCCTTTAGGAGACATTAGAGAGGTTCAGATTTAACTTCCACTAGAGCAACCGTCACTGGCTTAGTATGCATCTGATTGGTTAATTGTATATATCAAACGCAGGTGATTGGTTGATAGTCCCGGTAGTCAAATCTGAACCTCACTATTGTTTACCAAAGGGTTATTATATATAACGTGAAATTATAGGAGAAAAATTCCATAATTTCATATACCCCAGGCCCAGTGTGTGCATACACCTATAGTTATCATACAAGTGGCTTGGACTCCTTAGCTGCCCTCTGAAAAGAGCCTGTGTCAGCCCAATAATCTCGCTCATACTTCTTCCCCTTGACTGCATATTTCTTTTTGCTAGCCCAGTTCACTTTCACGATGATCAAAATAGCCAACAGGAACGCTAATGACCCGACAACTGCTGCGATAATAAAATAAATTGTCAAGTCGCCTTCGCTTCGCTCATTTCGATTCGCCATTATCACTTCCCCAGTTGTACGAGGCATGCTTGTATCTTGGGTCACTTTGTTGTTCGTTGAAAACGGTTGACTTGCATGTTGTTGTCGTTTGAACATCTTTGTTACTTAAGAAATTTTCAGAAATGATAGCGTCAGTTTTAGTGCCATGAGTAATCTTTGTAGACTTTGGACCAATTGTTGATTGGATAAGTGTTTTCGAACTGGTCCCTGATTGGTTATTGGTTACGCGTTTGCCACTTGTCGAACTTAAGGTGTCAGTCGTGGTTACACTTTTAACCTGTGATGACGTCACAACATGCGTCTGCGATGTAGGAACGCCAGTGGTCGTAGCTTCACAAGAAATTCCCGCCAAAATGCAAGGCAAGTTTTGATCCGTTGTCGTTGTTTTTGAAGTACCAAAAAGAGGCGTACTCGTGTTATATGGGTCTGAAACAGTTGTTTGAATTGTCGGGAAAATTGTTACAACTTTTGGTGGTTTTGTCGGCGTTTTCGGGCAAGTTTTTAAAAATTCCCCCCGCGATGCTATTCCTTTAGCGCTTTTGTTAAATTCTCCAAACAAGTCATAGTCATTAAAAATAAGTTCTTGCAGACAACCCGTGAAATTTTTTCTGCTTAGGGATTTTAATTTTGTTTTCTTGTCGTCAACCAATCTGCCGAGAACAAAACTTGTTTTTTTGTTGGGTAGATGAAATTTATCAAAACTACCTTTAGTTTTGCCTTTTGGGGTATCCGAATTATCAACTGTCAGATTAACCAATCGCTTGACGCGTTCTAATTTCACGCGATGCCATTGGTTGTCGTTGTACGTGTTTTTCTTCGTTGCTATGGTGACACTTCCAGAACCTAAGTTCACCGAAGCAGCTATTCTGCCATTGGTCAGTTCGAGTAGTATGTAATCTCCGTTGTAGACCGTGTAGAAAAATACTCCGTCTTGTTGGGTCGAGCGAACACGTACGAACATTGACGTCGTTTCCGAACTAGCTGCGACATTCGACGAAAGGACGTCGAAGATAACACGAGGGCCGCCAGGTGAAATGCCAACGACAGGCGATTCTGTAAAACAAAATCCAAAATTCGTAGTTATGTTCATGGAACTATCTAGTATGAATAACGTGAGCTCAGTTTAAGTTTCTTGCAGAAACATTGGATGGACTAGACGGCGTTTACTGGACCTCTAAGAAAAACTGTTTCGAACCGTTAGAGCTATCCAGTATAAATTTTGTTTTAGTGTAGGTTTACTGGATGAAGAAGTGATAACCCTTACTAGAAACTTCACCCCTTGGCTGTGAGAGAGATGACTTGTCGCGACCAAGTCTGAATCTATCTTAGGCTACGTTTACACAATATCCGATGAGAATGTGCAACTTCCAGAAGCTGAACGAAACAACATCTCTCCGTTGCAATAATTCCTCTGGAGGTACAATCTCATACACACTCGATCCGATGACTCTGGATATGAGATGGCATCGAATCACGCATGCGTATCATCGTATTAGATGCAGTAGGTCACCACTCTCTCCTCCACAGAGGTTTTTAAATAAGTTTTTTCAATAGAATTTCCGGAAAGTAGTCAGCCTTGGCTATAGAGCCTCGTTTTCGTGATTTGAGATATTGGGTTTCAGTCCTTTATCTTGTTACAGGTGGGCATATTTACGAAATCATACAGTTATATTAGGAAAAGGAAAAATACCTTTATAAAGTTAGGTTATCAGTAACAAGATAAAGCTACAAGTACTTCCGGAAGAGGTCTATATCCCGCAGGAAAGTAACTGTGAAGATAGCCTGCGTAAAGTCCTCCCCCCCAAAAAAAACAAACCCCGACTGCTATGCAGGCTACTGTAAAGATGACAAGATAATTCATTGCTCCATAACAATAACACAATTACATTTTTTTGTTTTACATATCTCAGTTTTGTTTTGTTCAATGAGATGAACTATATCTATGAGATGAACAGGCAACCGCGCAGTAAAATTCAGCACTGAATTTTATTAGTAACAGGCGGGGCGTCGAATTAATTGAACTATTATTACATGCACTTCACTCAACACATAACATCCATACCTTTTTCACAAATCTTTCCACCATAGCCCGTTTCAGCACACAAACATTCAGCCACTGCAAACTTATTGAGACAAACACCATCATTTCTGCAAGGACTCTTGGGTTTACACGCATCTTTACATTCCAAATTCATTCCAGCCGACCGTAGCACGTTTGCGGTGTGATTTTGTGTGGCGTTTCCAACGTTGCTAGAGAACTCTACGTCCTCGACGCAGCCTAGAAACCGTTGCGCGAACATCATTTCGTCCTGCGACAACGAGAATATATCGATATCATTCGGAAATCCACCAATATAGAAATTACTTTTCAATTGCATTTTTGTAATATTGAATTCAGCCTGCGTCGTGTTATCCAGTCTGTACACAGCATGATGCGAATATCCATCAGAAGAAGAAAATCGCACCTAAAATCGCAGCGAATTGTCACGAAAATGCTGATTAACCTGAGTGTATCGAAAGTGTTTGTCGTGTTTTTCAACGAGTCTGTTCCGTTCCCTTATATTGCCCCTTCTATGAAAAACATGCATTAAATTCATGCAAGACACGTGAAAATCGTAGTTCGTAACTCTTGAATTGTTCTCCTTACATAACATTGACCTTTGTTCTCTACTTCGTTGTCGTACGTAAATTGGCTAATTTATCACCGACTTTGCCTTCGTTCCGTCATTCAGCGTTGACAGCCAAAAACGGAAACGTTGCAAAGCGCTGAGTTGTAACAATTCAACCGGAATGACATCATTGGCAAGAGGAAGTACGGTTTCAATGGAAGTATGTATAAATAACTGCGCCCTGCCCCTATACTCAAACTATTCCTTACCGCAGGACAGAGGTGGTCAGACTTGTTACCGTGCGTTGAAAAATGAAGATTTTTAGTTCTCAATTGTTCGTCCTTGTTTTGCTGTACTGCTGCATCGTATCACTAGCATCGAGGTATGTATTGCATGGGCTTGTAGAAAATCTCCACTGAAATACCGCCAATATTGCGCTCAGTTTGGAAACCGTTGTTAAATCAACATTCCTGTTATCCGCCGTACCGATGTCGGGTGAACATTGTCGCGATCGTCAGTTTGTCGACTTGTTCGACGAATTGTGGAACTAAAACGACATTTAATGATTGAAATGTGTTCTGCTGGCAGACAGTTCAAGGGCGTTCGTATCGCCCTATGAAGTCAAACGCACTACACTTCTTGCCAAGTTTGCAGTGGGTAATATTCAGTTTAGCCTCTGTGGTTTAGCATTAAGCCCAGGATGAGAGCACGCAGTCACGCATTGGTATGGGGGACAGAGATTGACAAAATAGAGGTTTAATGAGTATTCTAATTACGTTTTAACTTCAATAAAACACATGATAGTGTTGGGAAAGCATTAAGAACAGCTAACCGAGATTGCGTGACTGCCAATTCTCATGCATTTTCATCCTCGTTTGATCAGGGCTTTAGAATTATGAAATTGTGAAAATGGAAGCATGTGGAAGCTGGTAGGAAGTAGAAATAGATAAAAAATGTTGTAAAGATCCCACGATATCGTGTCCGAACTAAGGAAGTAATCAAATTTGTAATTAAGGCCATGTTACAAAAGGCAATTCCCCTGCAAGTGGCGATGCAATTTCGGTTACAGAGCCATGTTATCTAAAAAATAGTCTGTCGCACAGAAATGCGAGCATGCCCGCATTCTACTCAGCCAACACTTTCTTTCCATAACATACTCCTAAGCATAAGGGATGAAAATGAAGAAAATATAATAGTAATTACTGTGGATAGCATTTGGTCTTTTTATTAATATCCGCGCCACGGCCAGCCATTGTCGACAAGGCGGCTGTTTCAATTTTTGACCAGGTCAAACTAATCCTCAATAATCCTAACTGTTTTCTACTTTTAGGGCTCCACCTCCAGCACCTGGCTCGAAACTTCGGGCTCAACGAAATTCACGATTAGGTAGACATATACTTTCACATTATGTTACGTTAATTATTGAAATATATTAGTTAAATATATTAGCATTGGGGGGAAATAACACCTTTCGTCAAACACAAGTGCGATGTTTTTATACTACTTGAAGAATAAGTGTTTTTTTAGTGGAACTGTCCAATTTCCCCTACGCCCAAGAAAATATTAAGGCCAGGCCGGTCAAATAAGGATAAGAGTCAATGATAATTGATGATTCTCCTTATTACGTTTTCGTAGCGCTTTGCATTGTGGTTATAGTGGTATCACTGATAAAGATAGTGGCCTCGAATGAAAATATGGAATGTTTTCGCGAATATTTTGCTGTAGGCTATCGCGCACCTGACCCTAGCTTTTTTTAAAAGTTCTTGCACGGGTCAGGACAAAAAATAAGCCACCTTGAATATCAGTGATACCACTATAACCACAATGCAAAGCGCTACGAAAACGTAATAAGGGGAATCTAGTATTGCAATTCTCGCTCGCGTTTGACCGTCAATTCCCATCAACCCTCATATCCACTCTCGTCAACTCTCATCAATTTTGAGCTGGGTCAAATTTTGAAGCGGTGATGAGAAGTTTTGCTCGTGCCTGTGTTGCAGCCGTGAAGCCCTGGGAACAAAGAAGCTCGTTTGACAGGAACACGCGGGGATGACACTGGATATGAAATTTCTCGGAGTCCAAACTCTCGCTTGTCAACTCCCATCAACTTTCATCCTTGTCTGATCTTGACCCCATTACGATTAATAGTTCCATAGCGCCAATTTACATGTAGGATATATGATCAAATGCGCTTTACATCGAGACAGATATCGAGTATTACGCTTACCTAATTACATACTTAGTCTTAGCCTAGACTATTTCATCTAAATAATCATCTTTACAACTATTGTGATATTTTTAAAAATGTTGGAAGCGAAACCAGGATTCATAATTAATTGTGTAAACGTTCTCTGGTTAAAAAGATTTATTTGTTACAAGCTTTCGACTGCCAGTCTGCAGTCTTCGACGGGTAGATTAATAATGTGCTAGTGATATAAGATATGATACAAAGTGAATAGTGCTATACAAAAGCGGTTTACAATTATATTTACTGACACAAAAGACAATTACTGAAAGTTCCGCCTACGTAAAAGATTGGTGACTAATTATATATTGTGTAGAATTTAAAGTTTTTTGAGCAAAAAGCGATATTGTTCTGGCAAATGTTTTGCGTTGTTATCAGCGTCTTTCGTGCATGTAGTACGTGTGCCAAGACTCTAATGTCGATCTGTGTCGATAGCTTCCCTTGTCAATTACTTTTCCGTTTTTAAAATCAATTCTGTGGTCGTTTGCCCACGCACGGTTCGCGATATTAGAGCCACTCTTGCATTTTTTCACGTTTCGTTCGTGCTCTTTTCTTCTTGTTATAAAGGCCCTGCCTGTCTCGCCAACGTAACTCCACGAGCAATCTGAACAATTAATTTGATAGACTACGTTCGTCTGGTTCTCAGGTAGTGGTCGGTACGAAACCTCTCCGCACACTAGAACAAATGTTTCCCTCAACAAAAGACCGACCACTACCTGAGAACCAGACGAACGTAGTCTATCAGATTAGTTGTTCAGATTGCTCGTGGAGTTACGTTGGCGAGACAGGCAGGGCCTTTATAACAAGAAGAAAAGAGCACGAACGAAACGTGAAAAATGCAAGAGTGGCTCTAATATCGCGAACCATGCGTGGGCAAACGACCACAGAATTGATTTTAAAAACGGGAAAATAATTGACAAGGGAAGTTATCGACACAGATCGACATTAGAGTCTTGGTACACTGCACGCACGAAAGACGCTGATAACAACTCAAAACATTTGCCAGAACAATATCGCTTTTTGCTCAAAAAACTTTAAATTCTACACAATATATAATTAGTCACCAATCTTTTACGTAGGCGGAACTGTCAGTAATTGTCTTTTGTGTCAGTAAATGTAATTGTAAACCGCTTTTGTATAGCACTATTCAGGGTCTTAGCTAGAGGGCCGTGTTGGCCGTGTTATCGCGGCCAAAAGTGGAAAAACACGGCTAGATAAAATGAAAGCGGCTTCATTATTTATATAAGGCCGTGTAGGTTCATAAAATAAGGTGTTGCTACAGTACTTACAACAGACAGAATTTCTTCCAATTTACGTCGTAAGAAAATTTGTAAAATCTACTGTTGTTGTTGAAATTGGCAAAAGCGATCCAGTTTTATTGTCTTGATGGATAATAGGAACTGTATGGTGTTAAAATGGTTTTAAATACCCCCAAGAGTTCCTGAAATAATTTAATACTTTAATGTCAGTGCGCAATATGAGCGTATGCTCGCCTTGTATTTGGTTGCAAAGCATACATGCAGTCGAACAACCACAGGCATTGTCTGTTGTTGGCGAGCATAACTAGAACTGTGAGATTGGCTATTCAAGGTAAGTGACATGTGCACGCCCTGGTCATTAGAAACACGCCCAAGATCTAAAATCCTAGCTAAGACCCTGGCACTATTCACTTTGTATCATATCTTGCTATCACTAGCACATTATTAATCTACCCGTCGAAGACTGCAGACTGGCAGTCGAAAGCTTGTAACAAATAAATCTTTTTAACCAGAGAACGTTTACACAATTTATTGTGATATTACTCCTTTCCCTGTTGGAGGAAACCGGAGCACCCTGAGAAAACCCACGACTTTCGGCAGAGCGTTGACAGACTCTTTTCACATCAGTCCATAGCGAGAATTGAACCAGGTGAAAGGCGCTCGCTCTTACGACCCCAATTACAACCCTATCCTTCTGTCGCTATAGGTCCTCTCCAAGTCAGCCGTGGCCAGGTTACATTTGATTCCGAAGGCAACGACATCCCAAGAAGTATTTATTTCAGTCGTAAACCTCACGTACCAAGCTCCGCTTCTGGTATAACTATTGGCAGAGGTTATGATCTCAAAGAAAGAAAACAATCTGGAGTATACAGGGAGTTATTGCGCGTTGGAATACCTGCAAACATTGCGCAAAAATTCTCGAGAGGAGTTGGTTTGAAGGGACGGACAGCAAAAAATTACTTAAAGGTGAAATTTTCAGTTTCTATCACGAAATATAGTAACGAGTGATTAAATTAACTTCTTAGTGTCACCTGCCGAGCGATGTTATTTTATGTCGTAGAAACAATGATAACGGTAACGATGTTAAAATCACTCACACAAGCAATTTCTTTCACAATCGGACGATAACAATAAATTGTTTGACCAATCAGCACGTGTTTACAAGTTATCGTATCGTTATCGTTGTGTAGTAAGTGTGATCAGGCCTTATGACAATAGTATAATAGCAGCCTAGTCCCAGGCTCTCGCGCTGAACGCTGCTCTAAGTGTTTTATAAGTTTTATGCCTGGGTGTGCTGTGCCGAGCGCTTCATACCACATCCGCGTATCCGCGTTTGCTTCAGAACGACTGGGACTAGGCTGGTATAATAGGACATTATTTATCGTGTTTAGAGACCAAAATTCAAATTATTTTAATAAATTTATCCAACTGACAGATTCAGTGTTAATTAGGCCGACATTTAATATATAATGAGCCGTATTGTTATTGAGCCGTACAATTTCGCCACACCTTTTGCCCAGATGCGAAAATTTGAAAGTTTCAGCATACCTTATAAAGCACGGTTTGTGGCTATAAAGTACGCCTATTTTCGGCATGGGCGTACCGGAAGGGAAAAATTAAGGGGGCGGAAAGAAATTTGCCCGACTTTTTCGGATTGTGCCCGACCAGTGCCGAAAAAATTTTTTCCGGAACAAATTAATTTTGGCGACCTCCCCCCCGTCGCCAAAAAAATTTCGGTCAGTGTACCATTTTAGGGGTCCAAAAAATTTTCCGACATACCAAAATTTTTCGGAACATCATACAAATTTTCCAGACATCACAAAATTGACCACAAAATTGACAGAATTTCCCACAAAATTAACAGAATTTGTCCCATTTATTTTTATAATAAGCCGCCAATATTGCCCGACTGTGGAGCGAATATTGCCCGACTGGCTTTGTTTGCCCAACAAACTGGGTGGGGGGTGGGGGGGGGGCTGCCGCCCCCACCCCGACCCCCCGCCCGGTACGCCCATGGTTTTCGGCATACCTTTTAGCCATGGTCTGTGGCTATAAAGTACGCCTGTTTTCGGCATACCTTTTAGCCACGGCATACATACCTTGTAGCCACCCATTTTTCAGCATTTGGCCACATAAAAATGCAGTATGCTGTGGTGTCATGGGCGGTAGCTCAGCTATATCCGGAGTAGCCCGCGTGCAGGCCCACCGAGGGAAGAATAGTGGGCCTGCGCGCGGGCTATATCCAGACGTGTGAACTACAGCGTTCTATAGCAAGCGTACTGTTCTGTATCGTATAGTGTTCGGTTACTTTAAAGAACTATAGTAAACTATAGCGTATAGTTTCATTTTTTATCCCAGTTACAATGTCTTTTCCTCATGGCCACCTCTGCTTTCACTTTTTAGAAAAACAACCTTCAAACCTACACCATAACGCACAATCAACAAAAGAAACTATTTTACATCGCTTACGATGCGATAGCTGCTGACGCGAGACGCCTAGCAACCAAACCTGACGTGCAGAGAGCGTACGGTAAAACAAACTGGGCCCGACTGAACAGCGCAATAAAAGATGTGGTCGTCGATTTACGGTATCGAGGCGATTACACCCCAACAACCAGACGAAAAATCCAACGTGCGATAGCTGCAAATAATTTGAAATCGTTCACACAACTCATGAGTGATCAAAATTACTGGTTGAAGCAGATTAAAGTGCCAAGAGATCGATTCTTGCGCAGGAAGAATGCTCTGGTCAAAGCGGGATAAAGACACAATGAATTATTGTCGTGACGTTTAGAAAGTGACTCATTTTATTGGTTTTTGAAAATGTAGACTGTTTCATGTCTGAAGCAAGTTCAAGCAACGTTTAATGCCTTAATCCTAAATTTAATAATGTATATGCTTTTTTAAGAATACATTGTTTGGTGGTCTTCCGTTTGTATACATTTCTAGTATAATCATTCTAGCAGGGGCCCCACAGGGGGAAAAGCGCATTCATATAAAGTTTTTATAGTAGGTTATAATAAACAGAACCAGCTAACAATTTCAGAAAATAAAAAAAACAAACGAAAAATTAAAGCATCTAGAAAAGCCCAATATATGGACTGCATGCACAACCGCAGAAAAAACTACCAAATGCGGTGTATATTCTGAAATTTAAATTCGTCTACATTGTACAAATTATAGGTAACACTTAACACAGCTATTTTTGTTAAATTTATGCGATGTAGACAATGTAAGCACGGATTATGATGGTGATGGGCATTGTCATTGACCTTGCATGCTGCATGTGTGAACTGATATTTGACCTATATTGTTTCACAATTGTTTACCATAGGCATTTTGCTAAAGGAAGAAGTTTAGACAGTTTACCATCTGCGGTTTGGCCAAAGCCAGGATTAATAATTAACAATTATTGGATGAGGTTTTTGTGATATACGGAATTATCAAGTCGAGGTAAGCGTATAACGCTTACCGAGACCTTGATAATTTTGCATATCGCAAAAACCGAATTCAATAATTGTTTTATTATACATTTGTTTGTGTTACAGTCAAAATACAAGAACCTTCCCGCTTCTGTAACTTGTTTTGTATTTATTTGTTCTATTTTCTGTAGCGATTACCGCTTTATCGGCACATATAGCGTTAGGATCCGGCAGAATTTCGCTTTCCTTCCTTTATATACGTCAATTTGTAGCAAAGGATACACCTTTCGTTAGATTCTTTGCATAAAAGTTGCGAAACTTAGATCTTATAGCGATATTTGCTGATAAATCGGTTTTAAACCGCAGCCTAGTGTGTTCATACTATACAAATTTAAAATTACCGAATACAATAATTTGACGTACTAAAATGAAAATTTCACAACTTTTATGCAAAGAATCTAACGAAAGGTGTATCCTTTGCTACAAATTGACGTATATAAAGGAAAGAAAGGGGAATTCTACCGCGATATTTGCCGATAAAAAACGCCACAGAAAATAGAACAAATTAAAGAAATACAAAAGAAGTTACAGAAGCGGAAGTGGGAATGTTCTGGAATGTTCTTGCATTTTGACTGTAAATAGATACCGCTTGCTAATCATCGCAGGCTCATTTGCAGATAACCGAGTTATCTGCTAGCAGATAACTAAATTTTCTGTAGGTTGCTTGATTGCGCGATTTAACTGTAAGCTCTTAGCCAATCAAATTGCTTTTACCAATTACAATGCATAATAATGAAAATTATTAGTCAGCCCGCAGTTATAGGCATAGCAGGTGAAAAAAACTCTATACTGTATGTTCTGAAATTTACACGATTTTATACTTTACTTTAATACACTCGACTTTACACGTACATGCAAATTTTGTTATTACACATTATATAAGGGACTGGTCATAAAGTAACTGCTATAGGGTGGGCTGGAGGTAAATCACAAATTTTGCCAATGTAATGAATGTTTATTCGTACAATGGTAAGAATATTTTCATTCGGTGAAAGATGGAATGTTCCATTCAACTCGGCTGTCGCCTCGTTGAACGGAACATTCCATCTTTCACCGAATGAAAATATTCTTACCATTGCACTCATAAACATTCAATATTTGTATACTAAATGCATTGCAAACACGGAAATATTTAGTGCTCGTTTAAATATTTGCACATTTTGAAACGTTTGTGGGTAGACCATATATGCGGAAAATATAGAGATCTATATGTGTCATGGACATGGGAGACATGAATTGTGATTTTAAATTAACCGTTCTATACCTGGGAGCAAAATTCAATCCTGCTAATGTCTGTAATGAATATATTAATTGCTGAACTACATAACCTTCATTGTGACATTGTTATATAACTTGTTGACAAGTTTGCTACAAAGCCTGTTCCGAACACATCTTGTCGAGATGCGAGATTTTTTGCAGCAGGGTTTATTTTAACGTGCAGTTCTACACAAAATGTGCAGTTCTAAACCCATTTGTGCAGTTCTTAAAACACAAATGTGCAGTCACCATAGCCTTAATTAAAACAGTGTTCTCATTTACTCGTTACCCTTGTGGATGCTCCAGAAAATTCCAGAAATTCTGTCATTAATTGAGCATCAAAAATATAAACGATTTCTGGGGGAGGACTCCAGACCCTCTTATTTTCCTCACAAAACACTTACATGCTGGGGTAATGGAAAAGAAGGTAAAATTGGGGCGAGCGATGCTCCCCAAAAGAGATTAGAGTGGGAGAACCAAATATTCTTTGCTGCCTCAAATGCAAATTTAAGGTTGTTATATATTGAATATCCATGATTCCCAGTTACATGTTTTGAAAGAGTTTTTGTGAGTGGTTGGGTAAAACAAATCTTAGCCAGAACTTAACAGCCTCTAGATTCAATTGGGGAACACCCCTAGCTCCTGCACCCAAAATCGAGTTTGTCTGGCCTTTCTCTATTTTTCCCACCCAACCACACCATTATTCTGTCACTCCATCAATATTGCACGCACCACGGTTCAGCATATGTGCAATTGAAAAGGCATTCAAATTTTAACAATATGCTTGATTTCTAAAGGTCTCCTTTTTTTTTATACACCCTGTAGATCATCTAATGAAATTTTCAACGTCGATTTATTAGCTTCCGGTCGCTAAGCAACAAATTTGAGGTTAGATTTTGTCTGAAGAATTATGTCGCGTCGTTTCAGCTCGGGTTTGTCTATAATAATTTCCTTTGGCTTTGTATTAAAACACAATCATATATAATCATTACCGCATTCTGGGATGAAAAACGAAATTGAGCTTACTATATGCAAACTAGTGAAATGGGAATGTATAGCCGTATACGCACTAGCCATTACGGCACTAGCTATGAGAATGGTCAAGTATAACTGTCTAAGAGTAAAAACAATGCAATTATCAAAAAGTTTAAATTCGCTCTAAAATTTGGTAAAGGAACAACCCCATCAGCCAGAGCGAATCCTCGTCGTACATTAATTATCCGTATGCAGTAAACCGAAATCTGTTAACAAGCTCAACCAGCTCAAGCCTGATTGGGCGACGAATTAAAAAATATTCAACTAGAAGGCACACTTGCCGTGACTTGGATATTTGTAGATAAAAGGTGTGAATTTTATGCTAATCAAGTCGGCCTGCAATTCTGGTGCAGAGTCCAGTTGTCAATCTGTAGCTACAACAGGTGATCCCATGAACATGGTAGTTGCTAATTTTTCATCCAGTTTTTATCCAAATTTAACCAAAATTTTTATAATATATAAATTTTTATTCGTATATTTTTATAATTAAATTTCATATCAATGCATTTAATAGTTTTCATGCTGACAGGCAAACATACACACAGTCAATCGCTATACGATAGGTATTTGTTTAACAAGTTAGTTCCTGATATTACATGCGCTGTAACGGGTGGAAACGCCCCCTGTCATTAAATTCCTCGGCATTGATTAATATTCTTTTTTCTTTTGCAGCCTTTTATATTTTGCAGACCTTCTGTTTAGCATTTAAATGGACTGAATTGGGAATTGTCTAAGTATACTGCAGATCTAAGCGCACAAAAAACCGAAATATATGCTCGGATTTTATTATTCAACCTGGCTTCGTCCGGTGAGTTTTGTTAACATGAAGATGAAGATTGATTTTAAGTTTGTGTTTTTGATCCTGGCTGTATTGTGCCAGCTCTACTATGTTGACGGTTGGTGGGGAGGAAGCTCACGTTCCAGTCGTGATTCTGGAAGTCGCCGCAGAAGTATAAGCGTGAGAACACCTTCGACAAGGTATTCATTGTAATTACTGTAACACAGTTTTAATTTTTAAAGGCTGATCACATGCATTATTATATGTTGTATCGTAGAATGGTCATTTTCAGTTTTCATTTGCTCATGATGTTTTTAACCTTTCCAATGCTCTCTAACCTTAAAATTAACGAGAACACCGCCTCACACATTTTAAAACCGATGTTAATTCTTAATAATTTTCCACCTAAATTCTTCCTCTTTTAAGTTGGATCCATACGTTAGATTTTGACGGCTAAGACGGAATACGAATATAATTATAACTATCGAGTTTATATAGCTGACAGTTTACTTAAATTTGTCTTCATTAATCTTTAATGTTTAGTCGACGTGGTGGATGGTTGTCACGTAGTCGAAGGCCGAGCTATCGAAGGCCGAGCTATCGAAGGCCGAGCTATCGAAGACCCAGCTATCGAACGCCCAGCTATCGAAGACCCAGCTATCGAACGCCCAGCTATCGAACGCCCAGCTATCGAAGACCCAGCTATCGAAGACCCAGCTATCGAAGACCCAGCTATCGAACGCCCAGCTATCGAAGGCCCAGCTATCGAAGGCCCAGCTATCGAAGGCCCAGCTATCGAAGGCCCAGCTATCGAAGACCCAGCTATCGAAGGCCCAGCTATCGAAGACCCAGCTATCGAACGCCCAGCTATCGACGGCCCAGCTATCGAAGGCCCAGTTATCGAAGGCCCAGCTATCGAAGGCCTAGCTATCGAAGGCCTAGCTATCGAAGGCCTAGCTATCGAAGGCCGAGCTATCGAAGGCCCAGCTATCGAAGGCCCAGCTATCCAACGCGCAGCTATCCAACGCGCAGCTATTCAACGCGCAGCTATCCAACGCGCAGCTATCCAACGCGCAGCTATCCAACGCGCAGCTATCCAACGCGCAGCTATCCAACGCGCAGCTATCCAACGCGCAGCTATCGAACACCCAGCTATCCAACACCCAGCTATCGAAGGCGCAGCTATCCAACGCGCAGCTATCCAACGCGCAGCTATCCAACGCGCAGCTATCCAACGCGCAGCTATCCAACGCGCAGCTATCCAACGCGCAGCTATTCAACGCCCAGGTATCCAACGCGCAGCTATCCAACGCGCAGCTATCCAACGCGCAGCTATCCAACGCGCAGCTATCGAACACCCAGCTATCCAACACCCAGCTATCGAAGGCGCAGCTATCCAACGCGCAGCTATCCAACGCGCAGCTATCCAACGCGCAGCTATCCAACGCGCAGCTATCCAACGCGCAGCTATCCAACGCGCAGCTATCCAACGCGCAGCTATCCAACGCGCAGCTATTCAACGCCCAGATATCCAACGCGCAGGTATCCAACGCGCAGCTATCCAACGCGCAGCTATCCAACGCGCAGCTATCGAACACCCAGCTATCCAACACCCAGCTATCCAACACCCAGCTATCGAAGGCGCAGCTATCCAACGCGCAGCTATCCAACGCGCAGCTATCCAACGCGCAGCTATCCAACGCGCAGCTATCCAACGCGCAGCTATCCAACGCGCAGCTATTCAACGCCCAGATATCCAACGCGCAGCTATCCAACACCCAGCTATCGAAGGCCAAGTGAAAGACCTATAGCTCCAACGACCCCAATTACAACCCTATGTCCTTCTGTCGCTATAGGTTCTCTCCAAGTAAACCGTGGCCAGGTTACATTTGATTGCGAAGGCAACGACACGCCAAGAAGTATTTATTTCAGTCGTAAGCCTCACGTACCAAGCTCAGCTTCTGGTATTACTATTGGCAGGGGTTATAATCTCAAAGAAAGAAAACAATCTAGAGTGTACAGGGAGTTATTGCGCGTTAGAATACCTGCAAACATTGCGCAAAAATTCTCGAGAGGAGTTGGTTTGAAAGGACGGACAGCAAAAAATTACTTAAAGGTGAAATTTTCAGTTTCTATCACGAAATATAGTAACGAGTGATTAAATTAACTTCTTAGTGTCACCTGCTGAGCGATGTGATTTTATGTCGTAGCAACAATGATAACGGTAACGATGTTAAAATCGCTCACACAAGCAATTTCTATACAGCCAATTCAGAAGAAGTTGTCCTTTGCAAACGTTTAATTCTAAACCTTAAACTCTAAGCGCGCAAAGTTTAATGGGAGCAAAGGTTCAAGCTTAGTAGTTGAATATTGTAGCTAGTGAATGAATTGTTGTCGTAAGGAAATGGGCCCCATATATGATTTATAAACTGATTAAATAATGCTCCCATTATGCTTTGCACGCTTACAGTTTAAGGTTTAAGGTCTAGAGTGCAAGGTTCATGGTCTGTGGTTATAAAGTACGCCTGTTTTCGGCATACCTTTTAGCCATGGTTTGTGGTTATAAAATACGCCTGTTTTCGGCATACCTTTTAGCCATGGTTTGTGGTTATAAAGTACGCTTGTTTTCAGCATACCGCCTGTTTTCAGCATACCTTTTAGCCATGGTCTGTGGTTATAAAATACGCCTGTTTTCAGCATACCTTTTAGCCATGGTCTGTGGTTATAAAATACGCCTGTTTTCAGCATACCTTTTAGCCATGGTTTGTGGTTATAAATACGCTTGTTTTCAGCATACCGCCTGTTTTCAGCATACCTTTTAGCCATGGTCTGTGGTTATAAAATACGCCTGTTTTCAGCATACCTTTTAGCCATGGTCTGTGGTTATAAAATACGCCTGTTTTCAGCATACCTTTTAGCCATGGTCTGTGGTTATAAAATACGCCTGTTTTCAGCATACCTTTTAGCCACGGTCTGTGGTTATAAAATACGCCTGTTTTCAGCATACCTTTTAGCCATGGTCTGTGATTATAAAATACGCCTGTTTTCAGCATACCTTTTAGCCATGGTCTGTGGTTATAACGTACGCATGTTTTCGGCATACCTTTTAGCCACGGCATATCTTGTAGCCACCCGTTTTCGGCTACATAAAAATGCAGTATGCTGTAGTTTTACGGACGCGGGCGCGCTCAGTTGTGTCCAAAGGTATGAACTATAGCGTTCTATAGCAAACACCCTGTTCTATGCCGTATAGTGTTCGATTACTTATGAACTACAGCGAACTATAGGGTATAGTTTCATTTTTTATCCCAATTACAATGTCTCGTCCTCATGGCCACCTCGGCTACTTTCATTTTTTTAGAACAATAATCTTCAAACCTACACCATAACGCACGATCAACAAAAGAAACTATTTTACATCGCTTACGATGCGATAGCTGCAGACGCGAAACGCCTAGCAACCAAACCTGACGTGCAGAGAAAGTACGGGAAAACAGACTGGGCCCGACTGAACAGCGCAATAAAAGATGTGGTCGTCGATTTACGGTATCGAGGCGATTACACGTCCACAACCAAACAAAAAATCCAACGTGCGATAGCTGCAAATGATTTGAAATCGTTCACACAACTCATGAGTGATGAAAAGTTCTGGTTGAAGCAGATTAAAGTCCCTAGAGATCGATTCTTACGCAGGAAGAATGCTCTGGTCAAAGCAGGATAAAGACCACATGAATTATTGTAGTGAAAGTGACTCATTTTATTGCTTTTTTAATTAAAATGTAGACTGTTTCATATCTGAAGCAAGTTCAAGCAACGTTTAATGCCTTAGAGATAAATTTAATAATGTGCATGATTTTTTAAGAATAACTTGTTTCGTGGTCTTCTGTTTGGCTTCACATCTCTATTATAATCACTCTAGGAGGGGCCCCACAGGGGGCAGGAGCGTATTCATATAAAGTTAGTGATTTTTATAGTAGGCTATAATAACCAGAACCAGCCAACAATTTCAGAAAATAAATAAAAAACAAACGAAAAATTAAAGCATCTAGAAAAGCCCAATATATGGACTGCAAGACGTAAATTTTGAATGGTTATTTCCATCCTTTGACGTAATATTTCAAATTCGACTATGAGGACTGGACTAGATTTCAAGTCCTCGCAATTTGATCGAGTCCGAGGCGAAGTTCGGATAAAGGCCACAGGAATTATTGTCGTGAATTTAGAACTAGTGACTCATGTGTGTTTTTAAATGTATACTGCTTCATAAGTGTAGCAACTTCAATGCCTTTAATAAAAAATTTAATAATGTGTATGCTTTTCTAAGAATAAATTGTTTCGTCCTGTTCCGTTAGATTTCATTTGACATTCTAGTCAAAGGTGTACGGGGCTGATGCTTTCCAGGGGGGCAGTTGAAAGTTTGCCAGAATTTGTATGGAGAATTGTAATGAAATTACCTGAATTTAAGCTATTTTTCTGATAAATCTGCCAGAATTTTCTTGATTTTTCTAGCATTTGCCCGAATTTCCATGGTTTTCCAATTTTTTAAATTTTTTTTTTTGGGGGGGGAGCAGTTGCCCACTGCCTCCTGTCTCGTACGCCTATGAGTATAATAATTCTAGCAGGACTCCACAGGGGGGGAGCTTATTCGTATGAAGTCGGTGGTTATTATAGTAGCCAATAGTATATTTGCTGCACTATACTTTATTTTAATAACACTACATATTGTATTTACAGAGCGTCCAAAATTTGAGTGTTTTTGAATGTCAGCCTACTTCAAAACTTTGGAAAATAAAATTTCTGTTGATCCAGACAAGATTTCTGGAAAAACATTTTAAGAACAACCTGTTGGAAATGCTTTGAGAAATTGCTAACCGATTTTTGAACATCCGGCCTCTGGTTAACATTTTCCTAGTTAGTGTAAGTAATAGTATGGTTTCGAGTGCAATTTGGAAAAAACATGCACGGTCAGGGGCGCCGGAAGCAATGTAAAGCGGAGGGGGCAGCCATTTCAAAAGGGCACTTCATTTTTCTGAGCGGCAATACTTGTTAAAACTTTACTGAATGGATACTCGATTACTTGTGGCTATTATGGTCGGCAAACCTCGACCTTAATTTTGAACAATTTTATTTGTTGGTGCGAAATAAAATCAGTAAACGGACGTATATTGCTTGATGTAGCATTAATTTTACTGCAACTGGTTAAAAATAAAGCAAAGATTGCTTAAACATTGCTTAAGAATAGTTATAAATTCCAATTTCTGTGAATAACGAACAAATTTCGAAGTGCAGCTCCGGTAAAAAGGGCAACCTATTGCCCCCATGCTGCCCCCGCACTGTTTGGGCAGTGGGGGCAGTTGCCCCCGCTGCCCCCGTGGCTCCGGCGCCCCTGCATGCACGAGTGCCTTTAGGAGGCATTAGAGAGATTCAGATTTAACTTCCACTAAAGCAACCGTCACTGGCTCAGTATGATTGGTTAATTGTATATATCGAACGCGGGTGATTGGTTGATAGTCCCGGTAGTCAAATCTGAACCTCACTATTATGTACCAAAGGGTTATTATATATAACGTGAAATTATAGGAGAAAAATTCCATAATTTCATATACCCCAGGCCCAGTGTGTGCATACACCTATAGTTATCATACAAGTGGCTTCGACTCCTTAGCTGCCCTCTGAAAGGAACCTGTGTCAGCCCAATAATCTCGCTCATACTTCTTCCCCTTGACTGCATATTTCTTTTTGCTAGCCCAGTTCACTTTCACGATGATCAAAATAGCCAACAGGAATGCTAATGACCCGACAATTGCTGCGATAATAAAATAAATTGTCAAGTCGCCTTCGCTTCGCTCATTTCGATTCGCCATTATCACTTCCCCAGTTGTACGAGGCATGCTTGTATCTTGGGTCACTTTGTTGTTCGTTGAAAACGGTCGACTTGTTGTCGTTTGAACATCTTTGTTACTTGAGAAATTTTCAGAAATGATAGCGTCAGTTTTAGTGCCATGAGTAATCTTTGTAGACTTTGGGCCAATTGTTGATTGGATAAGTGTTTTCGAACTGGTCCTTGATTGGTTATTGGTTACGCGTTTGCCACTTGTCGAACTTGAGGTGTCAGTCGTGGTTACACTTTTAACTTGTGATGACGTCACAACATGCGTCTGCGATGTAGGAACGCCAGTGGTCGTAGCTTCACAAGAAATTCCCGCCAAAATGCAAGGTAACTTTTGATCCGTTGTCGTTGTTTTTGAAGTACCAAAAAGAGGCGTACTCGTGTTATATGGGTCTGAAACAGTTGTTTGAATTGTCGGGAAAGTTGTTACAACTTTTGGTGGTTTTGTCGGCGTTTTCGGGCAAGTTTTCAAAAATTTGCCCCGCGATGCTATTCCTTTAGCGCTTTTGTCAAATTCTCCAAACAAGTCATAGTCATTAAAAATAAGTTCTTGCAGACAACCCGTGAAATTTTTTCTGCTTAGGGATTTTAATTTTGTTTTCTTGTCGTCAACCAACCCGCCAAGAACAAAACTTGTTTTTTTGTTGGGTAGATGAAATTTATCAAAACTACCTTTAGTTTTGCCTTTTGAGGTATCCGAATTATCAACTGTCAGATTAACCAATCGCTTGACGCGTTCTAATTTCACGCGATGCCATTGGTTGTCGTTGTACGTGTTTTTCTTCGTTGCTATGGTGACACTTCCAGAGCCTAAGTTCACCGAAGCAGCTATTCTGCCATTGGTCAGTTCGAGTAGTATGTAATCTCCGTTGTAGACCGTGTAGAAAAATACTCCGTCTTGTTGGGTCGAGCGAACACGTACGAACATTGACGTCGTTTCCGAACTAGCTGCGACATTCGACGAAAGGACGTCGAAGATAACACGAGGGCCGCCAGGTGAAATGCCAACGACAGGCGATTCTGTAAAACAAAATCCAAAATTCGTAGTTATGTTCATGGAACTATCTAGTATGAATAACGTGAGCTCAGTTCTTAATTTCCTTGCAGAAACATTGGATGGACTAGACGGCATTTACGGGACCTCTAGGAAAAACTGTTTCGAACCGTTAGAGCTATCCAGTATCAATTTTGTTGTAGTGTAGGTTTACAGGATGAAGAAGTGATAACCCTTACAAGAAACTTCACCCCTTGGCTGTGAGAGAGATGACTTGTCACGACCAAGTCTGAATCTATATATCTTAGGCTACGTTTACACAATATCCAATGAGAATGTGCAACTTCCAGAAGCTGAACGAAACAACATCTCTCCGTTGCAATAATTCCTCTGGAGGTACAATCTCATACACACTCGATCCGATGGCTCTGGATACGAGACTGCATCGAATCACGCATGCGTGTCGTTGTATTAGATGCAGTGGGTCACCACTCTCTCCTCCACAGAGGCTTTTAAAGAATTAATTCCAACAGAAAGAATTTCCGGAAAGTAGTCAGCCTTGGCTACAGAGTCTCGTTTTGGTGATTTGAGATATTGGGTTTACGGTCCTTTATCTTATTACAGGTGGGCATATTTACGAAATCATACACTTACATTAGATAATACAAAATACCTTTATAAAGTTAGGTTATCAGTAACAAGATAAAGCTACAAGTACTTCCGGAAGAGGTCTATATCGCGCAAGAAAGTAACTGTAAAGATAGCCTGCGTAAAGTCCTCCCCCCCCTCTCAAAAAAAAACCCAACAAAAAACAAAAAAAAACCGACTGCTATGCAGGCTACTGCAAAGATTACAAGACAAATCAATGCTCCATAATAATTACATAATTACATTTTTTTGTTTTACATATCTCAGTTATCTCAGTTTTGTTTTGTTCAATGAGATGAACTATATTTATGAGATGAACGGGCGACCGCGCTAAAATTCAGCACTGAATTTTATTACCAACAGGCGGGGCGTCGAATTAATTGAACTATTATTACATGCACTTCACTCAACACATAACATCCATACCTTTTTCACAAATCTTTCCACCATAGCCCGTTTCAGCACACAAACATTCAGCCACTGCAAACTTATTGAGACAAACACCATCATTTCTGCAAGGACTCTTGGGTCTACACGCATCTTTGCATTCAAAATTCATTCCAGCCGACCGTAGCACGTTTGCGGTGTGATTTTGTGTGGCGTTTCCAACGTTGCTAGAAAACTCTACGTCCTCGACGCAGCCTAGAAACCGTTGCGCGAACATCATTTCGTCCTGCGACAACGAGAATATGTCGATATCATTTGGAAATCCACCAATATACAAATTACTTTTCAATTGCATTTTTGTAATATTGAATTCAGCCTGCGTCGTGTTATCCAGTCTGTACACAGCATGATGCGAGCCTAACTCGACTTCGATTCCGTGCCATTGAAGATCATTTATGATAACTTTAGACTTAGCTTTGAAAGTATTCCCACTTCCATCGCTAAGTTCCAGAAGTAGAAACCCATCTTGGAGATGTAAAGTTAAATACTCGCCAAAACCCTCGTCATCGACGTAGAACAGCAATCCAGTTTTAACGTACGTTTTACACCGAAAACTAACACCGAATCTGCCATCTGTACTAGCGCGCAATCGTTCAAATTCAACGTACGAAGTTTGTCGATCAAAAAGACTAAAGCCTGTGGCTCCGAGAACAAAGCAAAGCGAAAAAAGGAGTCGCATATTGCCGTGACGCATTTTGAAATGGGTTAGCTGTGAGGCAAACCTCGAACAGTAATTGAATGGGGACAGCCCATCCAGGCCTCCAGCTGAACAGAATGACATGGTATGCAAGTTCTCATGTTTTCTATTGACATTAGTTACGCATTAATCGCCTCAAAGAACTTCCATAATACAACAAATCAGATGTTTCCCTATTCAGTTTCGTTAACATTGGTCTAGGTTTACTTTTGTAAAGCCTACATCATCGTACAGTACAGGTTTTAAACATAAACAAGTACCTTGAAGGACAGTTAATTGTTTGTCGGAAGAGATTAGCTACGACGCTTTTATGAAAGATTGTTTTTATATTAAAACACCAACTGTCGCTAATAACAGGGGGTCAATTGGTCAATTTGACAACGCGGAAAAGTAAATAAATATCTTTATCACAGGTACGCAGTCAATTGTATTGAGACAATTGACACTTATATATATTACGTCTGTTTTTCAGCGACTGTCACGCTGGGATGCTAAGAAACTGTTCAATCACACTGCAAAAATTTTGACTTAAAAAACTTAAAATAATACAACCACAGTGACTCAAAACATTGAATAAAATTACTCAAATTTAAGAACAAGTTTGCTCTTCTTTTCGAGCAAAGTAAATCTATTCTCTATACTAAAATACTATACTATTTGCTCATAAATTTTGTTGTGAGTGAGTTGTGCCAGACTACATTTCAGATGGCATTCGGTTCAAAATGTCAGAAATTGCGTTGCAAGTTGCAGCAAAAATGGTGTGTGCATTTATAAGATATTCTGTTGAAAATGATATATCATATACAGTAATATTATATCCTGTTAGTTAATAGATATTATAAAATATTATACTCGGATAATATTGGAATATTCAGAATAATATTTCAGTATTAATAATTCAGTGTTACTAATTCAGTAACAAAAGGTTACAATTGGCAACCTAAATTCGTCCCCCCCCCGTCCCTAATTCACTACTCTATAAATGTATGAATAAACTCTATAAATTTATAAAATTATACTTTTACTAAATTATAGTTATAGTTATAACTTATCAATTAAATGTATTAAATAGTGTAGTTTCCTTAATAAAATTTCTGTTGTGGGTTTCGTCTACAATACCATATATAAGCCATACAAAGTTTATATCAGCAGATACCAAATAACATTGAAATGGCAAACAAACTAACCAAATTTGTTGCAACAGAGGCGAGAACTTCGGTCGAAACTGAGAAGTCCTGGACACTAACTTGATACAACGCTATGCGTGCGCTATCAACCGACCAGCGGCCGTACACCATAAAACGCTCGCACCAAGTCCTACACGTCTTCAACTCCTCCTTCGCTACAGCTTCGGCACAACATTTTGACATAGTCACAAAAGATCTGGACGTTTTGCTAGTCTCAAGTTGATGATCTATGCCCCGAAGCAGATCGTTAGTTTTAAGAATAAGTAATAACTGTCGAGGTACACGATTTAGAATGCTCGAAATATCGGTGAGATACATTGAGACGGAGTTACGGAGTTCTTGCATCTGAAAGAACCGAAAAATAGATGTATTTCTCAAGGACGGTTTTGCTAGAAACTCCATATTTGGTCAGCTATTGTGTTGATATGACAATTTCACAGTTGGCTGTTATCAGAAATCATGGTGAATTCTTTGAAATTAAGAGGCAATTTTTTTCAATGTCACGTATTTGCAATGAAAAGTGTTCAAAACCTAAAATCGTTTAGGCGTTCCTCTCAAAATTACTTTGTTTTAGCTTTATTCTCTAGTTTGTAGAGTTAGCTACCTTTTTAAATGCATCTGCCGGTTGAGAAACATAAAATAATAGTTAAAAATTGTCAATTAAAATACAAATATTAATGATGCTTTAAAATTGACGCCATATTGTTAACATATTTACAGCCATATAACCAAAACTTACTGAACTTCACACATAATTTTCTCTTTGGCGTATCATCTAAAATCTCTTCATTTTGGCATTATTTTACAGATAAAGCACTAAAACATACTTTTTAAGTTTGTTTGCCGATTGAGAAATGTATCGAAAAATAAAAATTTTGAATTTAGTCATAACCTCAAGCGACTGATATATTATACGCATTAGTTTTGAGCGCGTGTTACGTAACATACAAAAAAATCTCCTCTTAATAAATATCACCGGCACTTACCTCATTCTGTGAGTACGGCGTTCTCTTCATTCCACTCACAACTGTGTTCCACGTTCGCGCGGCAAGCATACAAGAAAAGATTCCGTAATATTCACCAACATCCATCTTCTCGCTGTACCGTTTAATACCTTCTAAATTTGCTGAGATAATAGCTTGCCATAGTTTGCAGTAGTTCACTCGAAAATCATCAGTTATTTCCTATAGAGTTGATATTGATAAATTTGGTATGTATTACAAAATTTTGAACGGTTTGTGCCAGGGTAGGTATATTGCTAATAATAAGAAAACTTGATTGATAGGGATACAAATATTTTTATAATTGAGGTTCTTAAGGCCCGTTTACACGGGCGATTTTTGCTGCGATTTTAGTTGCGACTTTCTCCTTTTGGAGGATGTGAAGGACTAGATTACTTAATGATGTTGTTATGAGATTTCATAATCTGGAAAATTTATAACTGATCTACTCCTTCGCATGCTCCAAAAGGAGAAAATCGCAACTGAAATCGCAGCAAAAATCGCCCGTGTAAACGGGCCTTTATACTTCCATGCATCTTTGAAAAAATCGCAACAGATAACAAAGTCTGAGGTTTACTGTTAATCGGCAATTGTTCAAAGGCATTTGAACTTAAAATTGGACCGTGTCCTCATTTACATTAGTAATTATCATCTTTGAGGCGGATACAATAGTCGTATAGTGCGCGGGTCATTCTGGCGTATGAAAAAGACTGCTGACGCCGCGCTAATGGTGAAATTAGAGATGCAAGATGTCTAAAGGCCTGTCAGAGTTCGTAGTCTCCAAGACCAAAACAATTCAAAGACTTTCAAAGATTTTTTCTGCCTATTTTCAAAGACTTTTCAAAGCCCTTTGAGAGCAATCAGCTGTCGAAAAATTGCGAGTGTAAGCCTGGTGCAAGCACCATTTTTACACAGTAATTAGTCCAGTCAAATCACATCCTAAAATGCGTCTTTTTGTCGATATTTGCAAAAATCTTGCTTCAATCAATCTATTTTATTAGCTAGAAAATCGTATAATCAATTCCTCACTAAAGAATTTAAAGATTTTTAAAGACTTTCTTCGCTTTTTCACACAATTCAAAGACTTTTCAAAGACCTTAAAGACCT